AGGCCTCTCAATGACACCTCTCTCAACCAGCTGAAGATGCACATTCACAAACACACACAATGTCATGCCCCACCTTTAAACGTGGAGACCCAGGAGATGTCCTCAGCCGACCTGCCAGGTTGGGGGGGGGATTAAGGAGCTGTGTTTGCACTTTCTCAAGACAGCAGTAGTTATTAACGGCAGCAGGGAAAGCCAAGGTTGCCCCCCCTGTCCCATTGCACAGCCTGGTTTCTGTCTCTGCTGATAAACACCCAGCTCTGGGTGCGAATTCTTCTGTGCTGTTTATTTTTTGGCAGTTCAGGTTTACCCATCTTTTCTGCTGAGCTGACATGTGGCCATTTGAACTTCGTCTTGGGCACCTCCCAGCCCACCTCTTTTTTTTTTTTTAGAGAAGCCCAGACGTGTGGAAGACAGACTACAGAGGTAGCACTTGATTCTTACCCCAAAGAGGAGACTAGAAAGTGCAACACCCTGCAGAGAACTAAGTACACAGAGAGCGAATGCCAGGCAGCCCTCCAAACCCCACAGAACAAGGGAGAGCAACAGTCTGCCCCGTGCAGGACTCTTACCCCCCAAGGCTTTGCAATCAAGGGGAAGGGAGAGAAAGGAATGAATACCACCAGTCAAAAAACAAAAAATCATAGAATCACAGAATCATAGAAAGGTTTGGGTTGGAAGGGACCTTTAAGATCATCTAGTTCCAATCCTTCTGCTATAGGCAGGGACGTAACGAACTGAGTTTGATTGAAACTATCCCCACATTTCACTTTCTATGATGAGTGAGACAAAGTTTTCTACCTTCTGCTTGCCTTGTGCTGGCTTGGAGCACTCGGAGGTGACTTGTGGCTGCAAGTCTGGAGCAGGCACACGGAACAGAGAGCCTGAAGCATGGTAATCCACAGCAACTTCAATTAGGGCTGCCGTTAATTAGCCACTCTCGGCAGATGCAAAGTTGCAGGTCGACAACGCACCATTCCCACTTTACTTACTGGTGCTACGAAGCTATGCATATTCCACCTTCACCCCACTGGCCTCTCTTTGCATAGCCGGGTCGGTGAGTCTAACGTTCACAGAGGCAGGTGGATGATCCCAGCTAGCCAACGTTTTCCTGCACTTTGCCACGCAGCAGCCTTCAGTCCCAGCACGCCTGCCCCATTAGCTCACATCAGACACTCGGTGCATGGCTGAGACCTTGGAGGGACACTTTGCTACCAGCAGTGCAAGGTGACAGGTTGGAGGAAAGAGGCTTCAGGCACTTGCTGGGCAGCCTCCAGGCACACAGTTCAGGGAGAGCAGAGTTTGGTTGTGCTGTCAGCTGGGGAAACTGCAAAAGTATTTAATAATAATAACTGGACAAAAAAAAAAAAAAAAAAAAAAGTAAAGGAAAGGAAATGAACTGCAGTATTTCCCAGTATACCGCAAAAACAAGAGGTGTGACTTACTGCAGAAAGATGTGAAAAATGTTGGGCTTTTTTTTTTTCCTCATTATTTCTCTTCTTGTTCTGAGCTTTTTTTCTCTAATAAGGGAATCTTTCAGAGCACAGGTGTTTGCTTTTACTTCCATAAGCATTTTGGAATCGGTTCGCAAACCTCCCCAGATAATAATTTGGGGGTTTCCACTACAAACTTCCCTTCCTCCTTTAGGGAATGATTAGCTTTTTTCTGCTTAACCCAAGCACGCCTCGTTGCTGAACGGTGCAAGATGAACTTCCTGATCACAGCTCACCCCAGCCAGGACACGAACAGGACGCCTTGTCCTGAGGCAGAGAAGGCAAAGGCATGTTGCAGTTGTGCAGGGATCACTGCATGAAAGGAAGTTCACAGGAGAGTCAGGAGCAGACCAGGAGTCCTCTAACTACCAGTTACAGCCCTCAGAAATACCCATATTTACTATTTTAGCAATATAATTACAGGTGTTGAATAATTCCATTAGGAAAGCTGTAAGGAAAGGCATCACCTTTAAACCTTAGGGTTCAAATTAGGTGCATTCCTTCAGCCCCATTGAAGCCCACAGATATGCATAGTGTGGCATAGGGCAGAGCGCGCTGGGAAACGCTCTGAAAAATAAATTCAGACCAGCAGGGCCGGCTGAGCATCAGCAGGATTCTATCGGCTGACAGAGGCTGGGATTTCTCCCTGCATGTCACCTGGGAGCTCCACTGTGCCTCGGAGGTGTTTGCACATAGCGGTGGGTGGTTTCCCACATATTGTTTGCAAAAAGCGCTGGGCTGCCTGAACAGGGAGCCTCATCCTGGCTTCACAAAGGAAAGGAGCAGGGGAAACTGCAGTCGCTGCTCTCCAACACATGTTGCAGAGCCCCACTGGGCAAGGCAGAAATCCCAGCTTCACACTGCTTCGGTCTTAATGGGTGATTTTAAGTCCAGGTCTTTGATTCAGCTAATCAGAAAGGTGAAGGTGACCTGAAAAGCACAGAGCAGGGAGCAGGAGCTGAGACACACCTTATTTGGGGCTTTTTCATGCTCTGCCGTTTCAGTTTGGACACATCTGTTGTTTTCTCCAGTGAAATCCGCTGCTTTGATCGGTGCCAAAAACAGCAATCCCATTTGCAATGCGTGATGCAACTGTGCAAAGTCAAGGAGAAATTTTTTCACAAACCAGAGCCAGGGGCAACAGCTCATTGCTTTACAGCTTTTCCTGTACCAAAGGCAGAAGCTCCAATGAGGATCTCATTTTTAAAATATCGCCTCAAACGGGATTTTTAGTGTATCATTTCCATGTGTCAGCTTGCCACAAAACAGCAACACCAAAGGGGGGAGGCTTTAGGTCAGACAACCCAACCAGCCTCGCAGCAGCTATTTAGCAGCTGGATTTTAAGTGGTGGTCATTTGGCTGTTTTGCGAGTTAAAAACAAATAAATCACACTGTCTGTCATCAGTGATAGCAGGAGGGACATTTTTCATACCAGAGAAAAAGCGAAGGGTGGGCAGAAAGGAACTGGGGCTGAGAGGAGGAAGGGGTAAGAAGAAGAGGAGGGTATTTGCAGCCTGTGTCCCTGGCCCTGTCTCTCCAGGCTGAGGCACCCCCAGCTCATGGCCTCCCGCTCCTGTCCCCTCTGTGTCCCCTCCCTGGGTGGCAGCAGCAGCTGGAAGGGCTGTACTTGCCCCCATCTGACATCTCCCACAGAGAAGTGCCTGCTGTAGGCCTTCCTCCCCCACCGCCTCAGCCCTGGATGCAGCCTACAGCTCCCTCCTGGCGGAGCTCCTTCTGCCCTCAGTGGGCATCACCTGGGAGTTGGAACTGGATGATCTTTGGGGCCCCTTCCAATCCAACAACCATTCTGCATTTCTATCATCCCTGTGCAGCTGCAGGACCCTGACACATCTCTCGTCAAGCAGGCAAAGGCCCAGGATCTTTGGATTCCATCTGGGTCCCATCTGGAAAAGCTCCAGCATTTTAATTCTGGCTGCGGCCTGGACAAAGCCCTCCTTCATCTGGAGGCCAAGGGGCTCAAGCCCCTGAGGAGAACCAGGCAGGCACTATTAGATCCCTCCATTCCAGGGATAACTTCTTGCCTCCTCTTCCACATGCTTTCTGCGGTAGGGAGGCCACGTAGGGAGGAAATCGCGGACTCTTCTTGGAGACTTGAAGCTACCATCAGGCTGAAAAGCATCCTTGAGGGTGCTGCAAGGCAGAAGAGAAGGTGATTTCCTTCTCTTCTGTCCTTCCTTCCAGAAGGACAGCTGGAAGCGAAGTCAGTGAGCATCTGTAGGCTGTGCTGGGCCATGGCAGGAAGGGCCCCACATTAGAGGGCACTCAGAGCTGGGAGAAGGGCAGGAGAACAGCCAGCATCCTTCTTTGTAGAAAACCCCTCGGAGAGAGGAGAGGAAACATTCAGATGGTGAGAGGGCACTCCATCAAAGGAGGGCAGACGATCTAAAACGGGGAAGTTAAAGCACGTTAGTTAGAGCATAGTACACCCGTGGGCACTCTCGTTCAGGAGTTGCTTTCAGTTCGCTGGGGCTAAAATATCCTTTAAGGGAAATTTTAAACAGAGCCGAGTGGGCTGTTAAGGGATGCTTTCCTCCTGGCTCTGCCTTTCCCTGGGGTGGAGCACAGCCCTGGGACCTGCAGGTCCGACCTGCTCGCCTCGTCCCGCTGTGCACCCAGGGGTGGGAGGAAGAAGGGTTTTGGAGCCCGGCGGGCAAACCAACGTCTGCTGTGCTCGGAGCTGCTGCTGGGGAGCAGGAAGGAGCTTCAGGACTCACCGGGGCCACCGTATGGCACAAACAGTGGGAGTTTTCCCTAGAAAAAAAGAAGGATGCGTTGCACATCCAGAGCTAATTCAGCAGAGGTCTTGAGAAAGCACAAGTTACACAATGCGCTGCATTGCAGGCTGAATTTGGGGACCCCGAAGGAACCCCCCCCAAAGGTGGACCTCCCCGGGGACCGCCGAGTGCGGGGCTGAGGACCTCAGAGCCGCACTTCTGACTCAGCCGGGTTTACATCACGACCCGGACGGGTTGCGAAAGGCTCGCACCTCCCGCACAGGTGGGCGAGCTCTCACAACCCCCGCTTCAGCTTCCCTCCCCCTTGGCGCCTTTTAGCTCCAAACGCTGACATTTGAAGGGGGGGGTGGTACCACACCGCTTTCCCCAGGCCGCACCCCCAGTCCCCGCCGCCTCCCCCCCGCCGCTCCCTCCGCCTCCCATGGCCGCCGGCCCTGCCCCTTCCCCGCCGCCGCGGAGTGGAGGAGGCGCGGGGCGGGCGGCCGCCATTGGCGGGCGGCGGGTGACGGACGGCCGGGGCTGGGCGGGGGGAGAGGAGGAGGAGGAGGAAAACTGTGTAATCCTCCAGTGCAGAGGGCACCAGAGGAGCTGGGGCCGCCCGTCCCTGCATCGCTCCTCGGAGCCATGTGGGGCTTTTAGATTTTATTTTTTTCTTATTCTTTCTTTCGATTGATTTATTTTTCCTTTTTTTTTTTTTTTTTTCTCCTCTTTTCCTCCCTTCCCTATTTCTTTTTTTTTTTTTCTTCCTTTTTCTTTTTTTCTTTTTTTCTTTTTTTTTTTTAAACTCTTCTTCCAGGGAGAGGATAGTGGTTAAAGCTCGAGCTGGATGGATGGGTATGGGGAGAGGGGCAGGATCCACAGCCCTGGGACTTTTCCAAATCCTCCCTGTCTTTCTCTGCATCTTCCCTCCAGGTAAGGACCAACCTCTTGTTTTGAAGACCATCCCCTGCATATCTCCTCTCCCCTGCCCGTGGGCCTCCTCTGTGCTCTCCGCAGCGCTTGGCCACATGTTTAAGAGGAGCGGGGAGGAGTGGGGGGCTGAGATTTGCTCCCCCTCCCCGCCCCCCCTCGAGCGCTGCGGGGGTTTTGCCGTGCGCTCACCTCTTTGTCTCCCCGCTGCCTCATCTCACGGGAAAAGAGACGATCGGGAGGGGTTGGGGGGGGGGGGGGGGGGGGGGAGAAGGAAGAAAAATAAGAATAATTCAAACAACCCAAAACAATAGGGCGATGCAGGAGGGGTTCGCTCTGACAGCAGCCGTCAGACCACGCTGTCCCCCGTCCCTGGGGGTGCCCTGAAATAGCGGTGGGGGCACCTGAGCGCGCCTGATGCCCATTGATGCGTTGATGGGTGCGAGTGCCGGGGGGGTCTGCTTCGATCGCCGCTGCTGTGCTGGCATGGGAACAAGACGGGGGGATGCGGTTGGGAATGGGGAAGGGGGGGGGGGGGGGGGGGGGGGGGGGGGCACAGCCCTGAGGTGCTCACCTGGGGCGGGATGCGCGGTCCAGCTGCCCCCCTCCGCCGTCACCTTCCTGCCCTCCGCGGGTGCTGCAGCCTTTGCATCGTTGTTTCGGTCGCAGATAGTCGAGGTGGGGGGGGGGGCTCAGCAAATGGCTGCACGGCGACCAAATGGCCCGGCCCCGCACCGGCGCTGCCCCGTAACGCCGCGGCCCCCCCGGCCCCTACCCCCGGTTTGTTTGTATTGTGTCAGAAAAGGAGAGAATTTCAGAATTACAGCTGAAAACGCCATCTGTTTCCAATGAATCCCCCATAGTTTTTCACAATGTTTTTGGCAGATCTCTGCCTGCAAATTCCTTCAAGCCCTGAGTGCTTGTTTTTGTTGGGGGAGGGGAAACCGAGTCCACAGAGGCGGATTTGTTCCTTCCAAAACTCTCCAGTTTCTTTACCTCCTTTTTTTTTTTTTTTTTTTTTTTTTCTGCTTGCAAAAAGTGGGGGGGGGAAAGAGAGAAAGCAGGAGGGAGAGCGAAACAGCCTTTGCACTCCGCTCTGCCAGGTTTGTTTATCTTGTATTTGAGCACAAGTTTCCCCTTTTTCAAATTTTATGCCTTTCTTTTGCATAACTGTAGGTGCAGCCGTCTTGCACACACATGCAGCAAATAAATAAAGCGCTGCTCTGCGCCCTCCTGTCTTAAATGCAGTGAGCCCATCTGTGCCGTGCTCACGCCGAGCCTTCCCCCCCCCCAGCCCTGCACAAACGCCTATTTTGGGGGGGTTAAGCCATCACAGCACCCACAATGCCCTGTTCCGAGCGGGTTGGGGCTGTGAGATTTACGGTGCAAGAAAGAACTTGATACGCGATCTGCCCGCCTGCTTTGTTTGATTCTCCCTTCAGCAGTCAAATAAGGTGCAAAGAACTGGCAAAACGGGGCGATCCGGAGCCGGCGGGAGCAGGGAGCAGACGGATGGTGCTGCCCGTGCGTGGTGCTGGGGGGCCCGCTGCCAGCTCTGGGGGAGGGGAGATGGGGATGGGGTACGTGGGGGGGATTTCTTCCTCCTTTCCCCTTCTTGGTTTCCCGGTGAAGGATGTTGGCAGAGCCCCCAAAGAGGTGTCGCGGCCGGAGGAAGCCACGTAGCACCCCAAAACCTTGGGGGATGTGGGGCTTGGTGGGCTGGGTCGCTGCCTCATTGAGTCCTGCCTTATTTATTTACTCCCCCCTACATGCAGCTTGGGCTGGATTCCCAAGTGTACTGCTTTCACACCAATGACTTCAACCTGGCTTCGACTCCATGGAGGTCCTGGGGGGGGAATACTGGTGTGCAGAAAGCTACCACTGGCAGAAGTCCTGCATGGGGAGCAGGATGGTGCTCACACCAAGCCCTCACTGTTGGATGTTCATGGGTACTGTCCCATAACATGTGGGACCGTTGTGTCTGGGGTGCCTCAGCCTTCCAGCTGCAGCTGCACTGAGTCTTCTTGCAAATCCTTTTGAAAATCAGTCCAGTTTTTGCTCTCCCACATGTCCTCTAGTTCACTTTGGCTTTCCCAGATGGTGGCTTGCTTTGGCTGCTCTGCCTGAAATATGCTTCTGCCTTCAAAACATTTTCTACCCTTGGTCCACCTGGGCAAGGGGGTGGATTCCCAGGAAGGATCCAGCCCAAAAGCTTTTGTCACACTGGCAGGGAGGGATGTGATAACAGCATTAAGCCAATGTTGAGAAGAGGAGCTGAACCAACACCACCTGAGTACCTTGAATAGGGCCTGGGACTGGGAGGACGCTGTCAGTGCTGGGAATTGGGGAGGGATTCAAACGTCAGCTTGGAAATACATGGGCTTCCCTGTTGTACTATGTGCTGAGCTGGCCTTGTACCTGGATATGGGGTGGGCACTTTGCTTATTTTTCCCCCACAAGTTGCCTTCCCAAGATTCGAGGCCCTTGCTGACTGGAAATGGGGGAATATCGGGGGTGACTTTGGGTTTATATTGGCAGCAGCTCAGGTTTCCTTTTTTGTGGCCAATGCGGGTGTGTGTGTGAAAGCACTCGGTGCAGCCCAAAGAACTTCCTGACCTGGGGCTTTGGGGCTAAGCACCAACCTGCTGGCCCCAGAGAGCTGGGGCACGGTGACAGCAGCTCTGTGCTCTCCATCCAGCTCAGCCCTGGGTGAACATTAGTGGAATGGCAAGAAAAAAAGCAATAGCAATGGGGGCTTGGCACAGCTAAATGGGTACTCCAGTAAATGTAGAATAAGGGGGCCTAAAGAGCAATGGGTGTCCCGGATGGTTTAAATGGGGCTGGAGAGAGCTCAGGGCTGCTGCAAGCTCAGAGTGAGGTGGGCATGTAGGGATCTGGGGTGGGATGGGGGATGCTCAGATGCAGCTGTGCTCAGATGGGGCAGCTGAGGAGTCTCATCCTGGGGCACGGAGCACATTTCTAACAGGAGAGCCCCTAAGTGCCTTTAAAAAGCTTTGCAACCTGCACTTGGCAACAGCCAGGATTAAAAGAAGAGCTCCCATCACTGGGATATTTATTCCCTCGTCTTGTCCGTCAGCTCTCAAAATAACAGAGCGTTCGATTGTAGCCTCGAGATTGCTTTGCACTCAAGTGCAGCCTGACTGAGTAAATCACTGCTTCACCAGCTGAAATTCCTGCAGCGAGGGGGAGAATTGAATTATGTCCAACTGCAAAACCAGATGCCATCCCCTTGATGAAGTCATAGGGCTCTGACTGCGGAGAACAAGCTGGCTCCTACAACTGAGCAGTTCTGTTCAATGTCCCAGCTGTGGTGTGCGGGGCTGCAGTCCCCGAGGATACGAGAACAGCAAGATGTGCAGGGTGCTGAGTCCTGCTGTGCACTGTGTGAGCATCCGGAGCAGTTTGCACGCTGAGAGATTCTGGCTCTGGGCTTTGCAGCCATGGGCCTGGCTGAGCAGAAGGATGGGTGGGCGAAGCTGGGTGGTTTTCTGTTACTTTTTACCTCTTGGGCACTTTGGTCCCTGTGCTTCCCCAGGTGTGACCCCAGCATTGCTTGGGTGCCCACCTAGGTTTTGGGTTGGGTGCTGTGCCACCACCCCCCGCCCTGCACTCAAATCAACGCCTCTGATGGAGATGCCGCAATTTTTTTGGCAGGCATTTAATTGTATAAATTTGCCTCATCCAGATTTATGTGCTCCGGGCTTTTCTCCATCTCCTCATTTTGTGTCTCATTTACCTCTGCGTTTGAAGGGTTGAAATTTCACAAGAGCACAGCGGGGATGATTATTCCTAGAGGGAATCCACACCTGTAAGCATTGAGTGCTTCCCTGCCAGCCCTGCTGCGGCCCGGGCAAGGAGGAGGAGGGTGAAGGACCCGCTGCCACACCTGGGGGGCCCGCGGGCACTGGTGGGTGGCAGCTGTGCCTTCAAAGGCACCCTGGGAAAACAGTTCGGGTGCACGGAGCGCAATGGAAATCCAAAGCAGATGTCTGCAGGGCTGCCAGGCCTGGGGTGGCCGGGGCTGGTGGCTGGAGGAGGTGGCTGAGGGCACCTGTGTCACTGTTTTAGGGGCGGGTGCTGTTGGAGAAGCTGGGGGTTGAGGGAGGAAAACCGCCTTGTTTTCCACCAGGCTCACCTTGGGTGAATCCCTGCCTGGCCCCATACTCTTATCTGTAAAATGGAGCACTCCTCCAAGGTGGTTCACACGGATGTTGTTGGTGTTGGGAGAGCAGCCAGGAAAACCCGTGGTGTGACGTGGCGGGGAGCTGCTTTGTTAGTGCCCTTCTGCAGGTGAAGAATCAAAGGAGGTCGTTTCCCTCGCTTGTCTTCCTCTGTCCACCAGCTCTCCATCTGCATCTGTGAAGCAAAACTCACCAACCCTCCAGCAGCAGCACAGCTCCGGGCTGCTGCTTTAACCAAAGCAGTAAAGGCACTGCTGAAGTTTGAGTCCCACAGTGAAGCCTAAAAGCAAAACGGGCCAACTTGCACCTTGCTGCTCCGGCCGTGAATCCTCATTCCTCTTTCAAGTCTATCTTGAATGTCTCAAGATTTGCTGGATCCTGTTGGAGCAGCATCACAACAAGCTCCAAAGCACGGGGCTGCTGCTTCTGCACTGATGCCAGCTCTCCCATTTGGGCATTGGGAGGAGATGTGTTCAGCCCTGCTAAGCGTGCTGCAGTGCGGTGACCTGGAGCCAGGAGGGCTGATTGTGACAGGAACGGTCGTGGGCTTCTTCCACAGCATCTGGCAGTTCGTGGCCAGGGAAGGCACTGATGCTGCTGTTTTCCTGCCTGTGCTTGCCCCGTGCCTGTGATGCTGGGAGAGGAGGGATGGGGGCCATGAACTCGGTGCTGAGGACAACGGGGAGTTGGCTGTGGCAGGTCCTCCAGATGCTATAGTGCTTGAGAGGGGAAAACTTCTGTGTTCTTTTTAGCACAAACAAACCGAATGGAGCTCTTCCCCAGCATCCTTTTAAGCAACAC